AGAATAACAGAATTAAAAAAAGAGACTGTAACTATAGCAACAAAAATTTTAGTAAAACTCAAAGAACCTTGATCCTCAACTCTCATTGCCTTAGTCTTTAGTAGTCTCTAAAATGATCTGATTTGGGCCAGGCGTGGTGGCTCACGCCTGTAATCCCAGCTACTTGGGAGGCTGAGGCAGGAGAATCCCAAAACAAGAGACTTATGTTCATAAATTTGACATTGAAGATGCTCCAGGGTTCAAGCAATTATCCTGCCTCAGCCTCCCAAGTAGCCGGAACTCGGGTGGAGCCAGAGTGAATGTGAGGCAATCAATTAGGAAACTGTTAGAGAGGTTCAGGGTGAAGACAGTTAGGCACTGGGACTAGGATGACAGTGACCATGGAAAGAAGTAGACAGACTTAGAAAACAAACCAACAGGCCGAGCAGGGTAGCTCATAACTGTAATCCCAGCACTTTGGGAGGCTGAGGTAGGCGGATCATCTGAGGTCAAGAGCTCAAGACCAGCCCGACCAACATGGTGAAACACCATCTCTACTAAAAATACAAAATTAGTCGGGCATGGTGGTGTATGCCTATAATCCCAGCTACTCGGGAGGCTGAGGCAGGAGAATCGCTTGAACCCAGGAGGCAAAGGTTGCAGTGAGCCGAGATTGTGCCACTGCACTCCAGCCTGGGCGACAGAGTGAAACTCTGTCAAAAAAAAAAAAAAAGAAAAGAAAAGAAACCAACAGGACTCAGTGACTGGCTGGCTGTCTACGCCTGAAGAGGTATCTGGAACGACTTCCAGAACTTGAGTGACTAGGTGTATCCTGATGCCCTGCAATGAACACACAGGATGCTAATGAAAGACCAGGAGGGAGGGCAATGAACACACAGGATGCTAATGAAAGACCGGGAGGGAGGGGAAGGCTTTTTGTTTCATTTCGGACATTTTGAGTTTGAAAGGTTGTGAGACATCCAGATGGAGATATCAAGTGGGAAGCTGATAATACCTAAATCCAGCAGTTATTCTAATACTCTTTTTTACTTCAATTGTTCATGTTGCTGTTATAATATTTAGCATATCCTTCCTGAATTACAGCTGATTCTGAATAGTCTGTCTCTTCCAAAAGGTTAACTCCTAGAGAACCCAAACTACGTCTCAGTCATCATGGCATCCCCATATATGGCAACTGCCCTGGTGTTATGTCCCCCATCCCAGCCTTTACCTGAATGCTGCTGCATGTGGTCAAACCTCCGCTCCCAGTCTACCCGGACCAGAACCTGGCTTCCTGGATCCAGGGGTGTCTGTGTGAAATGATCAGCCTGCTCCCCGCGGCGAGTCACTCTCAGCACAGAGATGTCATTGATTGTACCACGGTCATCAGGCTGATGGAAATAAGTAAACATAATCAATGGCAAGGCAGGGCTCACCCTAACTCCTAGGTACAAAGACTCTCTAGGGTGAGAGACAGACCCAGAATTTGGGCTCCCTAAGAGAGATGGAGAAAGCAATGCCAAATGAGATGAGTCCACTTTGTTCCATGAGAGGATTCTCAGTCCTTTTCATTCTAAACACCTACGTGTTGTGATCTTCAGAATAACAGAATTAAAAAAAGAGACTGTAACTATAGCAACAAAAATTTTAGTAAAACTCAAAGAACCTTGATCCTCAACTCTCATTGCCTTAGTGAGGTTAGGCAACAGAGATCGTCCTCAAACTAAATCAGAATTTAGAGGGCGTTTAAAAGGAGGAGCGTGGTGTTTAGGAATCAAAGGGTTTTTTGGGCCCTTGAAGGACTGGAAGGCACTCAGACCCTGTGAAAGAGTGGCCCACCCCACCTCCAAGTCCCCCATGACCTAGGCCCAGTACCTCTTAGACTTAGAGGTGCCAAGGCCGCGTCAGCCCAGGTGCATGGACCGCTAACCTTAAGGATCCTTGATGGAGTTTGATCCAACAAACTGGACTGGAAAAGGTGATCTGCGGGGATCTAGCGGGCCCGTGCGCAGGAGATCGAGACCATCCTGCCTAACACGGTGAATCCCGTCTTACTAAAAATACAAAAAAATAGCCGGGCGTGGTGGCGGGCGCCTGTAGTCCCAGCTACTCAAGGAGGCTGAGGCAGGAGAATGGCATGAACCTGGGAGGCGGAGCTTGCAGTGAGCCAGAACGTGCCACTGCACTCCAGCCTGGGCGACAGAGCAAGACTCTGTCTCAAAAAACTAAAAAATAAAAAAAAAAAAATGACCATGATTTTTTCTCCCTCCCTCCACTCCATCCTCTTGCAGTGCTTACTAGAATTAGATTCAAAAATGTTCATTTAGTCTGGGCATGGGGTGCTTATTCCTGTAATCCCACCACTGTGAGGCCAAGGCAGGAGTATCACTTAAGAGTCAGACTGGACAACACAGTGAGACCCCACCTCTATGAAAAATAAAAAATGAGCTGGCATGATACTACCTGCTACTTGGGAGCTGAGGTGGGAGAATCACTTGAGCCCAAAAGGTTGAGGCTGCGTGTGGCTATGATTGCGCCACTGCACTCCAGCCTGGGTGACAGAGGAGATACTGTCTCATTAAAAGAAAAAAAAAAGGGCCGAGTACAGTGGCTCACACCTGTAATCCCAGTACTTTGAAAGGTCAAGGCAGGCGGGTCACAAGGTCAGGAGATTCAGACCATCCTGGCACATGGTGAAACCCCATCTCTACTAAAATACAAAAAACTAACCGGGCATGGTGGTGCACACCTGTAGTCTCAGTTACTTGGGAGACTGAGGCAGGGAA